TAAAATTTTATTAAAAAAATTTATATTTTAAAAAATTTTGCAGGCAAATTTGGCTGCAAAACAATTTAAGGGATAATCATATAAAAGATTCCCAGTAGATGTTGAGCTAACTTCCATGATGTATAGATCAGATTTAATGTTTGGCTAAGAAAGGTATACTTCTGGAAGTAAATGGTTTGAGTTGCTTTTTTTTCGATTTAATAAGGAAAGAGTTGTTATCTATTAGAATTTTTTTCTCTTTAGTTAGTTCGAGTTCTTTTATTTTTTTATATTTGGTCCACTCATATATATGTAACATACTATGGATTGTAGCAATAAGTTGAATATCATCTGTTTCTAAATAAGTAGCCACCCTTCTGTCTTTTTTAAGGATAGTTAAAACTTGATCATTATAAAGTACATGTCTTTTCTCTTCGCACTTTTTAAAGAATCTTTAAACTCTTCTAAAGCCGGCATTTAGGTGTTTGTTTGATCTAAATTTGTTTGTTTTGTTTGTTGTTGTTGTTTAAACACTACGTATTTGTTTACTTTTGTTTATTTGTTATTTTGTTTATTTGTTTACTTCTAATATGTGTTTGTTTGTTTTGATGCTTAGTAATCTGTACTACAAGGTGGAGAGCAATAACCCAATTTTTAAAGTTTTATATAAAGAATTTTGTTAAAAAGTTCGTTTTTCTTTAGCAGTGCAAAGTAAGATCCAAAGTGAAAATTTTTGCTTTAACAAACTATTGTTCTTTTTTTCTACTTTATCTTTTTCTCTAAGACTGCTTTTAGTGTTGTCTTAATAGAGTTAGGGTCTATTTGCAAATTTTCTTTTGCTCCAGTTTTGGTCATAGTGATCAGCAGAAAAAGTTGAATCCAATAAATTAACAATATTAGTAGTGTTAGATTCTATAATTTAACTAGTTAAATTATTAAAAAATAAATATCAGATATAGTAATGCAATCTAATTTATCTAATTTTACAATATTTAATACTAATTTTAACTTAATACTAGCTTAATAAAGTTAATACTAATTATAGCTATATTAATAATACTGTATTAATAGCAATTTATTTAAAATAATAGTAGATATTATATAATAATATACTTTTTAACTAATTAGCATTTACGATATGATAGTGAAATTAAATTCTGATTGGTTAAAAAGTATTTATAACTAAATTCAAGTATTTAGTTCTAGACTAATCTTGATATATAGAATTATATATTTATTTTATATATATATATACAGTATATACTATTATTGAAATACAAGCACTATTTAAAGTTGTTAACAAATTTATTAAAGCTAAGCTCTAGGACTTATTATATGAGAACCTGGTCTGAAAATCTGTGCAGCAGGACTTACAAGTCCTAGAACCAAGACCGAATCTAGACTAACTTTGCCATTTCTAACTATAGGTAGTATATTAAAAAAATTTAAAAATAAAGCTTAATTAAAAGTTATTTTTTAATAAATTAATTAATTTTTGACTATTTTTAACCAGGGGTGATTTAACCACCCCTATTAAAATTTAGAGTTAGGGTGCGATATAATTTTTTAGTTTTTAAAACTGTCTTTAAAAGGAAATAAACTACTAAATACTAATTATTTAAAAAATAAACTCTATATTGATTTTATTATTCTACAATATAAAAAGGTTTGGTTTATAATTATTTTAATTTTTTATTTATAAACTTTTAAAAAATATGTATTTTATTTGCTAATTTAAGGATTCCTGCACTGTAGGACCGGACGATTATGGACCGAGGACTGGAAACTATTCAGTCCCTGGTTCGTTACCGTCCGGTCCAAATCTTTTCGAAGGCCGATCCACCTCTATCTTCTTTGTCTGCTTTATAAATGGTGATGGTAAGTCATCATCATCCATATCCCATACACTGGATCCTTGTGAACTCTGCTGTAATCGTTTTTGAGGAATCATGCTTGATACTGATGCACTATTTCTAGGTCGTGCTTCTAATGGGGGATATATTAACTTTCTCAGTCTGGTCTTTGGTAATTCTTGCCGTAGGACGGAAGGTTTTACAACTGCCCCACCATTTAAACTTGATGCAATTTTTTTTTGCGTACGAAAGCCTTTCGAGACGGCAGTTTCACTCTTTTTGTTCGAGTCTACCTTAGAAGACGAAAAATCTATATTTTCCTTTTCCTGATTTTCGGATGGATTGCGAAGCGATATGACTTCTTTACTTGTAATAGTTTCTTCAACTTGTGTAACAACCTGAAGCAATACTGCATTTCTCGTCTTATTAAATTCGTCAATTTGACGCTGAAGGTCATCATGACGTCGTTTTAACTCTGATTCTTGATTTTGAAAGATTTGCTCTTGCAAGTCCTTTTGTCGCTTAAGCTCTAGAAAGCTGTTATTTAATTCTTCTTTTTGTTGCAAGAGATTTGAATATTCGATTTTAAATTCTTCATTTTTTCGTTGAACTTCCATACTAAACTGCTCTGTGTGAAGGTTAACCTCATTGGTAAATTGTTGTCTTTCAAATTCTAATTGTTGTTTGCGTTGTTGAAGTTCTGTAAATCCTCGTCTTAGTTCTTCCTCTTTGGTTGCTATCATTATTTCACGTCCGTTTAAAGCTACCTCTCGTTGCTTAAGCTCCTCTTCTCGATATGTTATATCCCTAATGGGATTCAACTTCTTCATTAATTCTGCAGTCGTAGGCCTTTTGTTCGGATCAACCATTAACATTGCTCTAATAATATTATGAAGTTCATCCGAATACCGTGATGGTATAGGTGAGATCGTGCCAGCGCTGATTCTTAGCGCCAAAATAGGTTGTGATTTTGCTTGAAACGGCGGTTGTAAAGCACAGAGCTCATATAGTAAACATCCAAGTGACCAAATATCAGACTTAGTATCATAATGTGATTCAGCTATTAGTTCCGGAGACATATAATAAGGTGTCTAATAAATTCATATAGCTGACCAGCGATTAGTTCATATAAATAAATTTTCTCTTAACATAAAGGAGTTCATAAATACTTACACCAACATAAGTTTGTGCAAGCTCTCGACCTAAATTCAGTTTTTTCGACAAACCAAAATCGCCCAATTTAAGCTTATTATCACTACCCAATAATACTGTGTAATTACCAAGATCAGGAAAAAATTTTGAATTCTTATAAATCACAATAATTAATCGAAAATACAAATAGATTTAGAAAAACGAACCATTATCCGGTTTTATATCACGATGTAATATCGTTATGTGTTGTTGACTATGATCTGAACCACATTTGCTACTACCATAGCCATAATGACATTCATGAAGCGCTCGCAATATCTGAATAAAGAAGTACCAAATAGTGTTTTCAGGCAAATAATTTCTGAAAAGAATGGAATAAAGTTAAAAAAATTAAATATAGTAATATAAAAATTAGGAAACTACAGGATTACCCACCTTTCTTTTTTGCATTTCTTGATTATTGAGGAAAGGTCACCTCCTTCGCAATATTCCATAATAATGTACATCATACAATTCATTTGATCAATATGTCGATCATAGTAACGCACAATATTGGGATGATTAAGTTCACGGAGAATATTAACTTCTGTCATAAGTTGAGTCATTTCTTTATCATTCATGCGCCGATAGTCAATTTCTTTGCGTGCTAAAATCTACCAATAATAAATAGGATAACTGTAAATTAGCTATTCGTTGTATTATAAGTTGATGTTTCATGATCATAAATTCATTTAGCTGCTGTTTAAATATCGTAGAGTAAATCTGACATACCTTACTATCGGATTTTCGTCTTACTTTACGAATGAGGCCAAAAGATCCTGTACCAATAATTTCTAAAGGCTCATATTGTTCCATTTCCCGTATAGAATTTTTAATTAAAAATAATTGACTTTATATAATTTTGACAATTAGGCTGACAGTACCTGATTACGCGTATGTTTCGTGTTTTTTAGTTCGGTATCAGATATCAGATATGGATCTACAATGTTGTAACCAATAAAAACCAGCGTATTGTTTATATTAAATGGAGTGACTGGCATGGTTAAAAAATTTGGCATTTCATATTAGTGTTGGGCAATTAGACCAACTTTGTTAAATTGGACCTATAAAATTGGAACTGGAATATGTAAGTCCAATTTCAAATAGTATACAGTAGTTAAAAAATCTTTAAAATATAAGATTAATAAAAAAAAAATTTAATATTATATTGTATGAATTGTTTAAATATATTAGATACTATATATTATTAATTTGCTAAAAAAAAGTAAATTTGGTTAAAGAGGTTAGTAAAATAAAAGAGTTAAAGATGTTTTGTTGTAGGTTTTTTTTTTTTTTTTTAATTACACAATTTTGTCTTTATTATTAAAAAAATATATATTGGTTTTTTTTTTTTTTTTTTTTTTTGTATTAAAATAACCTTTTTGGCTAGAAACTTTTTATTAGTTTATTAACTTTAGATTACAATTACAACAAGGGTATATCAAGCCACACATGCACTTTTGGTACTTAATTTAAGTAGTTCACCTAAAGATTTTATATTATCTGCTATACTTACACCCTAACTATAAAAGATATCTATTTAAATCCTCTAGTTATAACTGCTATTTATTTCTAATCTAATCAAGATATAACTTACTATTTATATATAGATTTTGTAACACCTGTAAATTTTGCATCTATTTTAAGACTTACTAACTATTTTTAGCTAATTTATTTACTAGGTAAACCTAACAGAGTAGTTTATATTTCATACATATTTTTATCTTCATATTTGGTAATATTTTTTTAACTAGTATTTGTTGTATTGTTATTACTAGGTTTATATCTCAAACTATCTTTTAGGATTTTGCTATAATCCAATTTGTGTTTTAAGCTACAACTTTTCTAATTAGTTTTCTATTATATACTTCTTGATCTTGTAAAGTTTATATAATCTAGTACTTATATTCAGACTTTCTTTCTTTCTTGAATTTTTTACTAGTTTCTTTTTTACTTTTAGCTAGCAATCTGGAAGAGTTGGTCTGCCTAGGCTTTATGTATTTTATAGTTTCTTTTTTCTTGATACATGCTTTTAAAGTATATATTATTTTTCTTTAGTTGGTAACCTAGTAGTTTAGCTGATATGTCTTTTACTTAAGAATTTAGTTGCTTGGTTCTTTGATTTTAGTTTCTAGTTTCAAAGTTGATCTTTCTATAGTACTATTAAAGATTATGCTATTTCCCAACTTGAGACTTGCTAAACAAGTTTTTAGTTATTCTAGTTTCTTGAATTTATTGTATCAAAGCTTCTATTTTAGATAGTGTGATCAAGATTACAAATTAGGATTCAACCAATTAGTAATAGCTATTAACTATATTACAAAGCTATTTTTGTTTGTAAGATTTAAACTCTAAACTTGCTGTCTAAAGATATGATAATTCTACTACTTTACTAAATTGCTATACCCTAAAAATATATATTAATTATCAATTTGTTATATTATTTTGCCATATAAATTTTTTTTTTTTTTTTTTTTTAGTTTTAGATTTAAAAAAGAATGTACTGCTAAAAAGTTAATACAGTCATACCTCTTTATAATCACACTTTTGGGACCATATGAACTTTTTTAAAAAAATGTTCTTGTAAAGAGGTGTGCTTATATAGAGGTCTTTTGTTATATATTAGATAGTAATTG